AAATAATAGCTCCTCATCCCAGAAAATCAGAATCAGAAATCATTTTAAGTGTTTTACCCAACTTAGATTCTCATTTAAAATGGGCTTTTTTTTTTTATCTTTTTTAAATAACTTTTTCATTATTTAATATTTCAATTAATGGAGAAAAATGCTATAATACATCCAGCTTCTATTATTTTTTTTTTTTTTTTTTTTAAATTCTAAATTTTGTTGTAACTGTTCAGCAGCATTTGAACTAATAAATCACTTTTCTTTTTTTTTTTTTTTTTTAAGTGTTAGGCAGCTTACCCATAAATTGCAATTGCTTCTCATTTAAATATCAAATGATGCTCTGACTATTATGTCATCGTGTCTGCCACTGAAAAGGTTAGTGTACAGATGATACAATAACAAAGAATGTACTGATTGTTATAGCATCCTGTCTATGATTTAGTAGATGAAACGGGAGTGGGGAAGATGCAATAAAAATATAAGTGCACTAAGTAGGAATGAACGAAATGAGAAACAAAAATAGATTATTATTATTTTACTGTCTATAATTTTTCAAAAGAGTCATTATCATTCCAGGTTACTGCACTCATTCTTTGTGTTGCTTTTGTTATCAGTAAATCATTTTGGCCTATCTGTACTATGGCCTTTTTCAGGCATACAAGCTCTCATCGAAAAGTATCAGGATCGTTGCTATGGTAGTAGAACTAAAATATGCAGTGTGAAGCCACTTGGTACAGATAGTCGTTGAACTCTGTCACACATGTGCACAAAGTTATAATGTTCTTGCTCACTTCCATTGTTTATAGCAGTTCTTGGAAGGAAAGTGTGTAGAGTGTGGTCATCTCGCAGCAGGTTCCATCAGTGACCATGGCTTGTGGAGCAATCGTTGCCCAAGCGCAACATTTCCCAGGTCTGACAAACACTATATTCACCAGATCTCACCTTTGCAACTTTTTCCTCTTTCCAAAAATCTAATCCAACTTGAAAGGAACAAGATTTCAAGATGTGAAAGAAATCCAAGTAAATGCAACTAGGCATCAGCTCACTATCCCAGAAAAGGAGTTCCAGGAATGTTTCCATCATTAGAAACAATGCTGGATAACTGTGACTACAAAAGGGGACTACTTTAAAGGAGATTAAATGCCAAATTGATGTTTTCTTTTCTATATATTTTTTTTTTTATAGTCCTGATAATTTTTGATCTACCCTTGTACAATGAGATACAGAGTTTGTGGGTTCATTACTGAGAAAAAGAGACCTGCTTTTCCATGTGAATTGTGCACCTGAGGATGGTTAGAGAATAGATCAGCTGAAATGTTGTAGTAACAACAAAACCAGCAAAAAAAAAAAAAGGATGAATTGGTGAAGATTTAGCCTTATCAAAAGATTAAAAAAGGCCATGAAATAAATGAAGAAAGCAGATAAAAATGCAAATACAAAATTTTATATTCAAGAATTGTTGAGGCAGTTTTACAAACATATTTTTCATGTGACTGAAAATAGACTATACAAGGGAAGATTTTTTTTTTATGACTAACTACTTAATGTCATCTCCTATTTATGCTAAAATTGGGGACTGAGTATTACACAAACATGTGTAAATATTTAACAGAAATATGTTCTTTACACTATTTATATTTGAACTATTGTCCTCATCTTTGTTTTTTTAAAAATAACAAAGACGAGGACAATAGTCCAAATACAAATAGTTTTAAATAATGATAACTCCTCATCCCAGAAATTCAAACAAAAATGTTAAGTTCTATTTGAAAGCATGTTAACTGAAAAGCATAAAACTTGAACTTGAAAAATTTAAATTTTTGAAGATTAATAATTTAGTATATATTCTAAATCCTGTGAAAACTTTCTTTTTCCATAAATTATGTTGATTAAATTTTGTTTTAAGTTGTTATCCACTCAGTGGGGATATTGTATCTTATTAATAATTTCCAATAAAAAGGCATTTTATTTAGTCTGAAGTTGATTAATTAATAGAATATTTTCTAATAATGTGTCTGCTATAATTTGAATCTGTCTGATTTGTTGGTTTTACCAAATCTTAAATTATATGGATTTTTGAAGTCTTTCTTCTCAAACACTATAAATTCATTGTTTCAAACACCTGTTGGAATGTTGACTTTTTCTCAATATTGAAAATGAATTGTCACTAACAATTACAATGAAATATTGATGATTGGATTTTTGAACTCACAAGAGTGCTCTTCACTGTGTTGAGATTTTCACATTGTGAAATATCTGAGCCACAAAATTAAATTTTATTCTCAAATTTTATGAAAATCTCTATAAAAGGCAGGATGTGTGTGTGTGTGTGTGTGTGTGTATAACAAATGCATGGCCACAATTTTCGACAGATTTGCACCAAAATTTACATGCACATGCTCCAAGTTAGCCGGAAGGCCAAGACCAACTTTGCATTTCCCAACTCCCATCGGTAGTGGAAATAATCAATTTTTTCATGCTTCTACGACAGTTTCCATATAGTTTGCAGCCATTTTGTACTGGCCAGAGTGAGAGCCAACAGCTGACTGACACGAATGTTAACTAGCATGCTAGCATGCAAAAAAAAAATCGATAGCTGCATTCGTCAGAAGTGGGGAAAAATTTATATCTGCATGGCAATTTACTCCAATTGGCTCATTCACTTGCTTAAACTCAACGTTGATTCTGATTCCGCAGAACTGGGTTGGGTGTGAAAAAGTATTTGTTGTTAACATTCTTTTTTCATTTGGTTTTTCCAGTCCTTTTTTAAAGCTGATCATTTTGTGTCCATTTTGTTTAGTTCTTTTTTCATAATAGATTAATGTTTAGTATAGAGCTTAGAAAAAAATTTGCAGTGTGAGATAGGCAAGAAGTAAGGCATGTAGCAACATCAGCACGGCAAAGGACTACTCCTTTAAAGGCAAGGAAGGGCAAAAATATAAGTCAAGTGATAGTGATTGCTGTATGAGTCGTACGATTTTTGAATCAAGCACGGGCAATGCCAGGCCATGCTGCTAGTAAAATATAAATTGTTGAATAGATTCTGTTCAAGAAATTTTGGTATTATTTAGTATTTTTGTTAAATGTTTTAGGAAACTTGATGACTTAAACATTTTTCAAAATTTTTTTTTTTTTTTTTTAAGCATTTCCCCCAAGCAAGGCGGGAAGCCACTAGGACGCAAGGGGTTACAGAAAATTTAGAGCAAGATCAGATAGGAGTGATAGAAGAAAGGATGAGGGTAGTCGATAGATTAAGGCAACTGGAGATGCCGATTGACATTACACTTGAATAGCTGGAGATTATAGCTCACAGGGAAACAGGAATAGGGAAGGGAGTTCCACAGGTGAGAGGTGCAAGACATGAAGCTATTAGAGTAGAAGAGATGGCTACATTTAGGAGTTTCGACAGTGAAGGGGTGAGAGCGGGATGCCTGTTTATGTAACTTGTGAATCTATGGTAGGATTTATAAAAAAAATTATGCTTTAAAATTTTCATTTCCATGATATAGACACAGGAACTTCTGGTACTTGAGGGAAGAAAAGCCTGAAATAATAGTTATATTTTAACACTGGCTGCATCTGAATCTCAATTTGTAACCTTTTCTTCTCACTACTGACTTAGCTCTTACTTCAGTATTCATTGACTTGGCCTTTAGTTAGGCACTAGGGAAAAATCCGATATTTAAATCTTGGTGATCAGGAATTAAGTTCCTGACAGAATAGGGCTATTATATTGTCATAACCTAGGTAAGATTACTGTTAGGAATGAGAAGACTTACCCCCCACAAAGCGAATTTGCTTAGCATGTCCGGTCCCGTTGAAAGATTGCGACCGGCATTAAAAGAGAAATGGATTATTCCGAAATTCCCATATCGCAGGCAGATGTACAAAGGAAAAAATAAAAAAGACTAAGAATTCAAACCAGCTTGAATTTATGAAATTGGAAGTCTTAAGTGAACGAGAAGTAAGTCTCGTATGCAAATTTTAGTTGCCCCCTGACGTGGGCATAAATATCGAGTCTGGGAGGAAGACGGCAGAGTGCATTGTTGGCATATATGCGTACTAACAAGACTGAGAGAATAAGAGGTCACTAGCAACAGCTCAGTTGGTAGACCGGAGGACTGGACGAAAGCAAGCACTTTAATCCATTTCACTCATTGCAAATGACTATGAGTGGACAGGTAGATTGTTAGGATGAAAGCAATGACCACACAGGACACAAGCTCGCTCAATAGTGTTTCCCTGCTGACTGAGCCTATGGGAGAATGTTTATGCATGCGCAGATTAGGTCCCCTCTGATTGGTTGCAAAGTTATATCAAGAGTATTTGACTGGTTCTTGAGATATTCAAAATGGTTGAAGAGATTTTGAACAAAACTTGTTTCATGAAAAAGATTGTGAGATGAATCAAGTAAAATGTGTTCACAATAAAATCAATGCAAAGAATAATTTCAACAGGCTGACCAACATATTTACTAAACTTAGCTTAGTCTGGCACAAGGCCATATATGTGAGATCTAGTGAGGCTCAAATCTATGGTTATCGGAATCAGACACGCTCATAGTTGCATGTAAATTTTAGTTAATTTTATTTACTTGGGCAACAGTTTGAAATGTGTTTATGTAAAGTTTAGATTGTGTGTATAATCTATTACTACCCATCATAAAATATATTAATTATAAAATTTAAAATAAAAATTCAATATTAATTTTAGGTTTCTACCTGTAATCCATTGATGCTCATCATCTCCAAAATTTGTTTGTAAAGCCTTTCTTAAGTAACACACACACACACACTATATCTGCCTTAGATGAGCACCCAACCATCTTCTACTATATGCTGTGTCTTTTCAGGACTTTGTCAATCATGACTCTCCACAACTTCCTGTCTTTTGTAGCTCTTAATAAATTTTTTTCTTTGTTATCTCTTCTAACTTTTGTTCTGACATCAATTTATTCAAGCTTGCTAAGTAGGTTATCCATTGTTTCCTTTTCTCCCCCACTTGTCGGCTTGTGGCCACATCACATTGAAATTCCAGTTCCTGTATAATCACCAAAGTTAAGCAATGTTGAGCCTAGTCAGTACCTACATAGGTGGCCGCTTAGGAATATCAGGTGCTGTAAGCGTGGATGTGAAGGTGGTGTAATGGATAATAGCTTGGAATTGTTAATTGGAGAGCAGAGTTCCAATTGCAATTGGGTTCATTATATTCACTTACATGCAAATATCCTTTGGAAAGGTATGAATCCACCTCTTCTCTTTTGTATCATTAAAAAAAGCATTAATATTTAAAAAAAAAAAAAAAAAGTGTACAAAATATTTAAATTTCAGCATTAAATAACCCATAAAGAGTGATATGCCACTAAAAAAAATCAACCAACCAATCAAATCCCCCTTGCTTGTTCTGTGAGTGCCAAATTCTCTAAGCCTTCTTTTCTCATCACATGCCCTATAAATTTCAACTGTCTCTTCCTGAAGTTAAATATAAGTGTCTTTTTGTTTCTATTTTCTCTAAAACTTTGTTATTCACATGTTTGGTCCATGGTATTCTCAGCATCCTTTTGTAGAACATTTCTGTTGCTTCAAGTCTCTTCATCTGTGAGGCGATTGTCCATCATTCACTACCATAAAGGAGGACTGATATCATATAACAGTTCAGTTCTCTTTTCTTTATTTCTAATGAAATTTTCCTGTCTCTTAATACTCTGCTTAGCTTTTAGAATGCATCTTTGGTATCTTTATAATTAAATTTTTAGTAGATCCCAAACATTTGTCAGATAGCACTTAATCTCTTATTAAGGATTTGATCTAAGACCTTATTATGAGTAAGTAAACTGACATGAATCCCCAAATAGATGCCAGTTATTTTTTTTTTCTTTTTCTTAAATGATATTCATCCTTTACAAGGCTCAAGAGCCTCTCAAGGTAGATGGTTACAGAGTAAGGCAGAGTTTATGAAGATACGTGAGGAAGATAATGGTTAACCCTAGACTTGGACAGGTTAAGATTGTAGTGATTGGGAAAACATCCTCTTGGGAGTCAGTTCCAAAAATCCTGATGTTAGTTTATTATCAGTTTGGAAGGAAAGTTCTTGCTGACTGTAGATCATTAATTTATTTAAAAACTGCAAGCACTTCCCTTCAAACCAAATATATTCTAATTTTAGTTTATTATACTTACAAGCTATTTGGTTGTTTGGAAAATGTCTGATTTTGAAATAAACTTTTTGTGTTCTAATATATTTGAACAAAAATATGTTACTCATTCCTAATGGTTAAAGTGTCTTCTTTGTTAATTTGATATCAATCTCTTTCAGAAAAATTACATACACCACATTTGAACACGAAAAAAAAAAAAGAAGCCATTTACATTTTTTTTTTGCACGAGTTCAAGTTAGCATGATCATAATGTTTCTCAAACTATTGCTAACATTAACGGAATGTGATGAAGATCCACTGGTTTCTGAAGTTTTGCAATGGGGATATGTCTCCAATATCAAGGTGGTAGAAGATGTCCCTCTGCAAGTTGATAATCAACGTCTGAAAAAAAAAAGTTAAAAAATCCCATGTGAAAATGTCAGGGAAATGTTTCAGATAATGTATTTCAATAATATAAGACTATCTCAAGAAAATTGGCAAGGTAAAGAAACTCAATGAGTTTCACATGAACTTGGTTAAAAATGTAAGATAAATGTTTCAGGTATTGTGTGTTAGCATTTCAACGTCTCAGGAAAATTGGAAAGGTAAAGAAACTCAATAAATGGGTTCCACATGAATTCAATGAAAGTCAAAGAATTTTAATGTTTTGAAGTATGTTCAATGCTGCATCTGTGAAATAGTGATTTTTGATGAGAAATGGATCCTTTATATCAGTCGTAAACAACCAACTCGATCACTTCATCATGACAAATGACCCAAACACTTTCCAAAATCAAAATTGCACCAATGAAAAAACAAGGTGGTCTGCCATTGTTGTTATCCATTACAGCTTTTTGGAATCTAACTAGATCATCACTGATGATATTTACTCCCAACAACTGTGGATGAAATGTGCATGTTAAGCAAAATGTGATTAGTACTAGTTAACCAATGAGGTTCAATTCTAGTTGATAAAAATGCTTGACCACATATTGCCAAGATGATGCTGCCAAAGCCCACCAACTTGGGATATGAAACTTTGCCACATCTGCCATATTCCTGTGATCTCTTTCCACTTTTTCAAGAATCTTGATATCTTTTAAGACATTCCATTGCAAAGAAGATGCAAAAACTGCATTCAAAGATTTCTTGACGTTCAAACCTATTTATCGTAAAGGCATAACCTTTTAACTTGATGGCAGAAATGCATAGTTATTCAGAATTCTTATTTTTACTGATTTAAACACTGTTTAAATAAATTAATTCAGTATTTAAAGTTTAATTTTAAAATTGGAAATTATTTTCCGAATAACCTAATATTAACCATGAAAAAATTAGGTATTTTTGAATTTCTATGAAATTACTTCTTTTTTTTTTTTTTAATTTATTGGCATGCTTCATATTATCTTTAGAATTTTTTAAATTTAAAAAAAAATACTATGGTAGCATGATGCTTTTATACTTCACCATGGCAAGCAACACGATGCTTTCATACTTCACTATGGCAAGCAACGCGATGCTTTCGTACTTCACTATGGCAAGCAACGCGATGCTTTCGTACTTCACTATGGCAAGCAACGCGATGCTTTTCCCGCCATGCTTCACTATGGCAACGCGATGCTTTAAAATTTATTCACTATGGCAAAACGTATCCAAACTGCTTTAGATTCACCATGGCAAAAAATACTTTGATGTCTTATAAATCACCATGGCAAGCAACGCAATATCTTTCGTGCTCTTCACTATGGCAAACAGATGATGCTTTATCAACTTCACTATGGCAAAAAGCGCGATGCTTTCATCTTCACTATGGCAAAAGCGCGATGCATTTATAATCTAAAAAACAATGCACAATCGTATTCACTATGGCAATTTAGCGACGCTTTTCACCATGGCACTTCACTTTGGCAGCAGATAAGCGTGCATCTAAAATTTCATTAAATATTTGGATAAATAGATTTGAGGTACTTTTCCATGGCTTCTTCAGCGATAGCTTTTACGGGTTCTGAATGGCAATCTCTGAATCTGAACCTCATTGACACTGGGCAAGCAACGCTGATGCTTTCAGATTTTTATGGCAATAAACGATGCTTTTCTATATTCACCATGGCTCAACGCGGCGGCAAGCAACGCTGATGCTTTGATTCAATATGGCGCAACGCGATGCTTCAGATTTCTCATTATGGCAAGCAACGCTTCTCTTTCAATTACCATGGCAAGCAACGCGATGCTTTCGTAGATTTCACCATGGCAAGCAACGCGATGCTTTCAGATCACTATGGCAAGTAACGCTGTTATTTTCATATTTCACTATGGCAAGCAACGCGATGCTTTCGTACTTCACTATGGCAAGCAACGTGATGTTTCTGTACATCAAGGGATCATCATTCATTGACTTATTATAACAATGGATTTTCGCATTACTTACTAGTGAAATCAGATTGCTAATAATTATCTCATGAGAAACTCTATCATGGACAGAGAAAAAGAACTCATACTGTTTATTATTATATATTATAGTAGAACTTTGTTTATAGTACTACAATTTATTGAATCTATCAGAACCAGTGGTATTGGAGAACTAATTACAAATTCCTGTTCAGTTTATTGCATTCACTTTTGCATAAAAGTGCTTAAATTTATAAGTCTAGGTATTATTCTTTGATAGCAAAGGAATCTGTAGAGAGCCATGATTTGCCTATGTCCAGAATGGACATAACTTCAAAATAGTTTCTTGTGTCAAACTTATTGACAGCATTTAAATTTTACATTTGGAAAGAATTGGAATAAACTTGGCACAATTCTTTGATAGTTAACCAAAAAGTTCACTTTTTTTTTTCTTTTCTTTTTTTTTTTTCTTTTTTCTAATTCTCCTAAATTATGCCAAGCTATAATTCTGACTTTGTCAAAGACTTTATAATAATATTTTGTATTGCAATGTTGGTTTTGAAAGGTATTTGGCCTGAAGGGATTTTAGGAATTGGGTTGGGCCAAATACATTTCAGTATCCCCCCTTGTACTACTTGCCACTTTTCATAATCAGTGTAGGATGGAAATCATTCTTGGAAATTGTCCATTTTTATCCTTAAAAGTTGCCATTTTGAACACTGCTTTTTTGTTAGTTCTACTTTGGAAAATGGAGCATTTTTATTATGTCCAATTATTATCATTCTCTCTTTCACTATTAAAGACTTTTTTATTCTTTCCACTTTATAATCAGTGATTTTTCATTCCATCAAAGGGATCTCTTCCAAACTTTTAAAGTTTTTTTATCAATTTGAAATTCCCAAAGTTAATTACCTTGATTATCTACTCTTGGTCATGTTGTAAATTGCCACCTCGTATTTTATATTATTTTACTTTTTTCTTTCCTCCCCTTCTTTTTTTCTACCCCCTTTTTTTTTTCTTTTCTCTCCTTCTTATTTTTCTTGTCTCCCCTTCTTTTTTTCCATCTTCCATCTAATCGGTTCTTGGCTTGTTACTCCATTTACATTTTCTCATGCCATTTTTCTGAATTTTACATTTTTCATTTTTATCCCCCCCCCCCATTTTTCTATCTGATATAATTTGCTATCATCATAGACCATTTTCATTTAACAACAATATTGGGTCTAGTTATCTTTATCCTGCTTATATATAATATAGATAATACGGAAATTTCTCTCCTAGAATATATTTTCTATAATACTAGTCCAGATCATATAAACAGTCAGACATTATAACCATTTTTCCTCTCCTCTGTTAACTACTGCTGCCAAATCTGTGGAATCCATCATATGGTTCTTCCTGTTCAGCATGCAGCATCCTATGTCTGATATTAGTGAACAGTGTTCATAAGCCATCATTGGCAAATTATTCTGCACCCCCAACTCTGTATTGGTCACTTATATTAGTTTTATGGTATCAAAGCTAATCTAAGAAGCTCAGCACTGTACAAGACATCAATATCAGTTGTTGTTTAAATATTTTCAAAACAAGACTGGAAAT